AGAAATCAATTTGTTATTTTGGTTAGGCCACTTGTTTAATATTAGGATTTGTATTAACCATTAAATAAAGTTATAGGGTGGTTTTTCATTAAAACTCAAAGTTTCTAAGCCTTTTTCATTAGTTTTCTTAAAATTCATGGATTTATAAATCCATTAAAATCTTTCAAATTCCTAATTGAATACACCCCCTTAAACAAAAATCTGAGCTGATATTACTAATGACATGTGATGCGATGAAAGTAGTTGAAAATGGAAAGGGATCATCTCCGGCTCTCTTTCACCAAATCCATCAAGTTCAAGATCCAGACCATTTAAATTTGGTTGAAGTTACAAAAAGGAGCAGTTATATAATAGGTTAGATCAAATTTTAAGGGTCCGATCCCTGTCTTATGGATTTCGTGGAAGGGATCCAGAGTCCTTTCCGTTGAAAATCTCATCGCCTCTCCTTTCAGCCTTTCAAGGAAAACCCACTTCTTGGGCGTCTTCAACCACGTAAAGCTTCACTCTTTTATTAGTTTCTGTGTTTAAAATTGTTGGGGTTTGCAGTTTTGGATTGAAATTTGTGTTTTGGGATTTGTTGGGTGCTCGCATGTGGAAATTTGGAATATTTTAGTTGTGGATAGTGGGGAACTGACGCAATGGCGGTCCTATTTCATGTAAGTTGCTTTTGTTTGTGTGTTTTTGATGAAATAATGATGAGGAGGGTTGGATAGTTGGACTGGTTTTATTTTTTTTGTGAAATTAGAGTGGGATCAATCAAGGTCGATACTTTTTTAGGTAAGAGTAATGTAAAGTTATGTCTTTTTGGCAAATTTAGTGACTTGGTGGATTTGGAATTTTGGTTATATTAGATATATGTGTAAAGAAAATAGTTGAACTGCATGAAGCTTGATGTAATTCTGGTTTTAATCAATGTTGGACTTGGGAAACCTAGTGAATATACAAGCGAATCTACGATTAGTTGAGAACCTTAAAGGAGCTTGAGGGGTAATGAGGGTTTTAGGTATTTAGTGACATTCAGGCCATGCTTGATTGATGTCGGCGTATCGGAAATGCTTGAACAAAGAAGAAAGGTGCTTGAAGAGCTGCAGTAGTTAACTACGTGGTTTGATTAGATTGCTATGTTAATCAAAATGTCCCCTGTAGTATGTTATAGGGTTAAAGTTTTACATAAGTGTTCTTTAGCGACTTGGTTTCAAAATTTTCATTTTCGTTCGACTTTCCTGGGTCTGTGAGGCCAATGGTAGAATGATCATGGAAATTGTTTTGTCTTAATATCTCTGGTAAGAGCGGGTATGCATTCTTATAGGACTTGTTTTCTTTTAAGCTGTTTAATGTGCTCATTTCAGTATGCATCATCCAAAGTCTATAACTGCTAAAACTAGCACTACAAGGGCGAGGGAGCTATCATCTGTTTGGAAATAAGAGCTATAGACATGCCCCATAAGGGTCAATAGGTCTCAATTGCATACTTGTTTCTCATGTGTTTTCATCTTGAAGGTTAGAAAAGATGGGTGCTCTAGACGCGGCGGTGTGCAAAGAGTGGTTCATCAACACCAGAGATGGAGGCTGATCTCATGTATGTGGTTACATGCTGGAGTTTTCCATATGCTTGCCAATATGCTGAGTCTTGTATTCATTGGAAATTTGCTTGAGCAAGAATTTGGATTTGGTGTGCATCTGGATTTTTAGCTTCATGTATGTTATCATGCATGTATGGCCACATCCATAAGTGTTTGTAGTAAAAGATAAAGCACACGACATAAACTGTAGAATAATAAATTAGTTACCAAGTGGAAAACTTCTTTCATAAATCTAGAAGAGAAAAACTTTCCGGATGGCTTTAGCTACCTTGCGATTTTTCTACAGAGGATTTCTATGCATTTGTTTATTGAATTGTAATCCTAGAGTAGTGGTCATGTAGTGCTGGTTGCATTATAACTTACACCGGTATGTTGTTTGGTTTGATGGAAACAAGAGGACATTTTATTCAGCGGTGAGCAAAGAAAAGAATTTATACACCGAAGATGGGGTTCAAACTTTAGTTTTAGACATAGTATTCCATTTTACAGAATAAAATTGCTTGAAACAGAAGCTGAGAGATTATTTCAGTTCCATCACATCTGTGGGAACAAAGATTGTTTTGGATATCCTGTACTTGTAGACATGGCGCCTCATTTTGAAATGTTTCAAGATGCCGTGTATTTGAAAAATTGAAAAAAATAATAGTTTGATGCTGATCTACATCATGTACAGTTGTTTTGATGAACTGTTTTAACTAATTGGTTTGAAATTCTGATGTTTTTCTGATTTATTCTTCTGCAGTTCGAATTGGTTTCCTATATCTCATGTCTGGTTTTGGTGGGAGTTTGCTTTCAGCTCTTTTTATTCAATATGGTATTTCTGTTGGTGCTTCTAGTGCACTTTTTGGTTTATTAGGAAGCATGCTTTCAGAGCTCATATCAAATTGGACAATGTATGTAAATAAGGAAAATAAAGTTTCTGTATACTCAATGATGTACCTCTTTATAGTATGTGCACGACCCTTTGATCTTACAGTTTCAGATTTTGATCCGCAGTTAGCAGCATTGCTTACTCTCCTTTTCATCATCATAATAAACTTAGCAGTGGGAATTCTACCACACGTGGACAACTTTGCTCATATTGGAGAATTTGTCTCCGGATTTCTTCTTGGATTTTTGTTTTTGATCCGCCCCAATTTAAATGGCTTACCCAACGGAATGCTCCCCCTGGACGTGTTACTACTCCAGTTAAATCTAAACACAAGACGTATCAATATGTATTGTTGATCCTCTCTTTGATACTATTGGTTGTTGGGTAAGCTCCTCCTCGATCTGTGATTTAACTGTTTGACTTCATGAACCTAATCGACTCCCTGCATGAGAATCTGGTAGCCACAGTTGACGTGTGCACATTTTTTTTTATCATATCAGGGAACAGGATTTTGCGTAGATATATAGATATCATGTGTCTTTTCATTGCGAATAGGCTCTGTATCTGCTTGTTTCTCATCAGAATGGTTTGGAGAAGGCATTGTGTTATCGCTATTCTCTGTGTAATACTAATTGATCACTTTGTTGATAGCAGCTTCTACTTCGCTGTTTTGGATTGCATATGTTGGCAGTACTTTGTTGTTTTGTTATTGGAAATAAAGGTTCATTTTCCTCGTATATGCAGGCATTTTCTGACAGAAGTCATGTTTTTTACAGGTATACTCTTGGCTTGGTTACTCTTTTTCGAGGGTTTAATCTAAACGACTTTTCCTGGTGTCATTATTTGAGCTATGTCCCTACATCAAAATGGAATTGCAAGTCACAAAATATTTATTTTCTGATAATATGCCGTACTTTTCTGCGCATAGTAACTTCCGCCTTAATATTTGATAGACATAAGTGCTTGCTTATTAATATGATCATGGAAATTGCTTCTGCAACGTACTTTGTTAGTACTATAATTTGATTTTGTACTGACATATTTGTTCTTTATATGCATATATGCACCAATCTTGCAATCGAGCCGGATAGGGAATCAGCTGAACTTAACGTGGTAAGCAACAGTAGAAATGGAACATATTCATTGTCGGATTCCAGCCCCTCCCGGACTCAGCAGCTATATGCTGAGCTTTGCAGTTGACCATACATGTACAGATTTCAGAGTTGATAGAATGTTGATTGATATGCTTCATTCTTGTAGTAAGTATTCTTTATTTTTCTTTTGTTTTTTGTTGGGTAAAATAGTCTTGTGTATTCACCAAGCAATGGTTCTCATTGTCATTATTCTTTTCATTCTTTTACTGCCTTTGTACCTCTTTTCTACTATTCATAACAGTTGAAACCCATACCGATAACTATGAAATTTACTTGCCATATAGAACTACTCAAACATGCAATTTACTCACCATACCTAAGTTTGTTGAATGTGGGATGTTACAGATCCTCTCAATCGGACCTTTGCACTCTACCTTCTTGGCTCTCTCTCTCATTTTGGAATGTTGCAAGATGATCGGACACATGTATACTTTCTAGTTCATCCTTTAGAGACCAACTTTGACAAAAAAAATCAACTAAATAAAAAATCGTTTAACCATTTAATTAACATTGTCAAAATTTCAGTATTTAACTGAAAAACATAGTTCATTTATTTATTGGATAACAATTAGATGAAAAAACAAGTATGAATTACTTTGGTTTTTGGCGAAGTTGGACTTTAAAGGGTGAATCAGAAATAGACAATTTTACGGAGTTGGTGGCAATCTCTAAATGCAAGTGCAAGTCCAATAAGGGAGGATCATTTCGAAACTTGACATTAAATGATCCCCTTTAGTGTTTTGTCGTATTTGTTTCTTTGTTCGTCAAAGGAAAGGAAAGAAATTTCGTCAAGTACAATAACAAACACTTATTTGCAAGTTTCACATGCTACTCTGCTAAGGGCTACTGATGGGTTATCGGAGGCTAATTTGATTGGTGCTGGAAGTTTTGGGGTTGTGTACAAGGGAGTTCTCAATGTTGATGATAGAGCTCAATTGGTTGCCGCCGTAAAGGTGTTTAACTGCCGTAAAGGGAGTTCTCTAAGGGCTACTGATGGGTTATCGTCAAGATTATAACTGCATGTTCAAGTGTTGATTCTCCGGGTAATGATTTCAAGGCTTTGGTTTATGACTACATGGAAAAAGCAAGCTTAGAGAAGTGAATGCATCCACCGACTGATATTGAAGAAGCAAGAGAGGCACCCAAGAGTTTAAATCTTTTGCAAAGGCTCAGCATTGCCATTGATGTTGCTTGTGCTCTTGATTAGTCGATTATCTTATCATTGTGAAACACCAATAGTTCATTGTGATCTGAAGCCAAGTACTGTTCTTTTGTACAACAAGTCGAGTATTGGACATGTTTCCAGGGCCGGTCTTGAGTTTTTGGTTGCCCAGTGCGAAAACTCAAAATGTGTCATTTTTTAATACGAAAACATATGTTTAAAAAAAAAAAATTTAACGAGAGCTGGAACCCAGTCGAAGCTGGGGGGCTAGGCCCTCACGCCCAAATTATATTACTTGAGAAAATATACAACGGGGAGGAACATAGTACCTAAACCCCGACAATAAAAAATACAATCATATACAACCATTCCTAACGAAGCTCCTTGAAATTTCATTATCCTTTGCCTTTTTTTTCCTTTTCATATTACTAGAAAATTGTTTCCTAAAAGACATGACTTCGATAATTTGTTTGCAAAAATTACCTACACATGATATAACAAAAATTTCCTATCAAAATTATCATTCCAACACATATTATATATTATAAAAACACTAACACATAGTTTAACATATTATAAAAATTGAACCTAAAAATTGGGTTTGAAATGAAATGAAATCATTCAATTAGTCAAGAATTCAATTCATCAACAACAACAATTCTATACATTAATTATCATATAATTATATGTCACTTGCAAAATTTTATATGAAATTATGAATTGATAATTCAAAATTTAAAAATTAGTTTACCTCAAAACTCAAAAAGAAGGGTTGGTGGTGAGTGAGTGCTCTTGCACAGCAGCCAATGGGCTTGGCGCTGAGCTGAGGACAGCCGGACAGGGACCTCCTGTGCTGCAACAGCTTGCTGGTGAAAGGGAGTCAGGGGGTCAGGACCGCAGGAAGAAGTTGGGGAAATGGGGATTTATGGGAGTTAGGGTTAGTGGGGACCGAGTGGTCCCTTTAATGTTGTTTTGTTTTTTTTGTTTTTTTGTTGATTATAATGTGGATAATACTTGGTACTCTCCGGGAGTACCCAATATACACACTCACTTATGTGGTACAATAAAAAAACGACATCTGTCCTTATTTAAATCTCTCAAACACGTAACCAAACATCCTTTATTCCTGTAGCCAAACACTCACCTTCTTCCTCGCCAAAGCACACAATCAGAGAAACACTTTCATTTTCAAATCATGGCAATCTAACTATGGTGGAAGATTCCATTTCCAGAAGCCCAATCTGGTAATCCAAAAATATGGGTTCCTTGATTTTCATACGGAGAGGACGATGGCTCGTGGGGTTGGGTGCTCTTCTTTTCACGGTTTTCTACTCTCACGTGAGATCCAGATTTTACAACGATGAAGGTGCCATGAGTTCCGGCAAGGGACGGTGGCTGATGGTGGTGGGCGAGGACACTGGTCTGTGGTGGGAGACGACCGTGGCTGGAGGTGGTGGCCTGGTGGGAGAGGACCGTGGTTGGTGGTAGTGGGACCGTTGCAGGTGATTGTGCGGCGAGGACCGTGGCCACTGGCGGTGGGAGAGGACCGTCGCTGGTGCTGGTGGTTTAGATCTCTGTGTTGTGAATGAAGATGGGTGTTTGGCTAACACAATAGTGAGTATTTGGCTAAAGAATTGGTTAAGTATTTGAAGATTAAATTTGGCTAGGTGTTTTTATATTATTGTGTCACATAAGATAGTGTGTATATTGGGTAATCCCTGGAGAGTACCCAAGTATCATCCTTATAATGCCCAAAACCTGGATCATCGAGTGGTCCTCTAATGTCAATTTTTTTTTTTGGGGTAACGCCCAAAACCTGGGCCTTTTTTCTTCTTTCCTAGGCTCTTGCCTAGTTGGGCTCTAGACTTTTTTATTATTTTTTTATACCTAGTTATTTAGGTTATATTTTTTTGGTGCCCCTTTCAGTTTTGGGTCTTGGACAGTTGCCCCTGTGGCACTGGGCTTGGGTCGGGCTTGCATGTTTCTGACCTTGATTAGCAAGGTTTCTCTCACAACTGAACAGTATAAAAGCTTCAACAAAACAGACAAGTTCTGCCGAAATAACAAGAACGATTGATTATGTGGTTTTAGGTAAATATTCACATCCTCTCCACAATCTCTTTTTTTTTTCTTTTAAAGTTTTTGCATAATTCAACTATTTTGTTCTCAATTTGCTAACAATATTTGGGAAGTGAAGCGTTAATAACTTGATATGTCTACAGTGGTGGAATTCTCTTGCTAGAGACTTGAGCCCCCATGAAGTTTAAAAATTAAGAAAACTTGATCTCACTAGTAATTGTTACCATTTTTAAAAAGGTTGCATCCACAACAAGCTTTGTTGCAATGATACTTTAGGGGAACTAGGAGAAAATCAGCAATCTCACAGTCTGGCGCCTCATAAAACGTACAGACTTCAAAATTTCCATTCATAGCTAGGGTCACCTTGCTAGGGTAACTTTCACATTAGATGACACTAACGTGACGTCTGATGTGAGAAAATATTGGGTTCCATGTATTTGTTTTTCCATTTTGGATGATTGCCAAAATGAATTATGGATGATAATGCTATTATGTATGGTTGCCAAAATGTTTCCAGTCAGCTTCTGGACTCAAGGTGCTTTAATGGTCTTGGTCCCAGTTGTGGAAGTAACCTAGTGAAGTCTTCTAAAAAAACAAGCCGAAGTCGTTATCATTTACTTGGACTTATACCTTCTCATCTTTGAATTTGCAAGAACCAGAAACTGTGGTGTAAGTTCCTCCTATGATCCTATCCTTCTATAAATTTCCTTGTCGTTTAGTGGCAGTATTCCTCCTATGATCCTAGGGTAACTTTTATATTCGGTGACACTAACGTGACGTTTGATGTGAGAAAATATTGGGTTCCATGTATTTGGTTTTCCATTTTGGATGATTGCCAAAATGAATTATGGATGATAATGCTATTATATTATGTATGTTTGCCAAAATGTTTCCAGTCCGCTTCTAGAATCAAGGTGCTTTAATGGTCTTGGTCCTTGGCGCACCGAAAGTGCCAGACTATAGTGGAAGTAAGCTAGTGAAGTCGTCTAAAACAAAAGCCGAAGTTATTATCATTTACTTGGACTTATTCCTTCACATATTTGAATTTTCAAGAACCATTAACCAGGTCTGGCCCAGGCCCAGTGCAAACGGAGCGGGTGTCCAGGCCCAATATTGAAGGGGGCACCAAAAAATAAAAATCCATATAATTAGATATATATAAAAAATAAAAATAAAAATATGTCCAGCCCAAGTTTGACAAAAGAGTACGGCCCATCCCCCAATTTTTTTTTTGTCAAAGCCCATCCCCTAACAGCCCATCCATCCCCCAATTAATTAAACCTAGGGAACTTTAACGAAAAGCACCCGGTACTGTTCACTTTAACGAAAAACCACATTTTTACACTAAAAAGTCAATCCTGGTACTATTCACTTTACCCTTTATTTTGTCCTTATCATTAAAACTCAAAGTTTTCAAGCCTTTTCATTAGTTTTCTTTAAACTTAACCCTAAGTTCCTAATCCCCCCACCCTCCCCACTTTGTTTCTGACCCTCCCTGCCATTTCTGTCCGATTGTCCCTTTGAGCTCTGGCTTTCTCTCACTGCAAGCTGCTGCGATGCAGCTTCCACAGGTTCTTGTTCTTCTCATTCAGTGCATTCACCAACCCTTTTGAGTTTTAAGGTAAATTAATTTTTAAAATTTGAATTATTAATTCATAATTTGATGTATAGAATTATTGTTGTTGTTGATGAATTGAATTCTTGATTAATTGAATTATTTGTTATACTATGTCAGTGGCCCAATTATTCACACCCAAGATCACAAGTTTTTATGAAGAATTTTACGGATTCAAAGGAGTGAAGTTTGTTAAAGGAATCATTTTATCCTCGTTTGACATTGACTCGGACGGGAAGGTAAATGTTAAGTTCTTCTTGAATAAATGAACTTTGAGTGGTTATTGAGATGCTTTCTCAAAACAAATTATGTACTTTCTTAAATAGAGAAAACATTGGTTCCATAGTTAAATGTGTATAGGATATATTTTCTTTGAATTGGATGCGGTTGAGATGCTAAATTTTTCTGCTCAATTCTTGTAGAGGTGACTGCTGTTAATCTTAGAGATTTTTTATGGGTCAATTTATTTTTATTACTTTCAATTTTGGTTTTTGTTTAGTTGCTTTGATTATTTTAATAAATATCAAATTTGGTACATTTTTTGGGTTAAAATTTTGAGGAGGTTGTTTAGTTTGTTTGTCAATGTGATTGATATGAAACATTATATACTTGTCTTTGTGGATTTGCAAATGGATACCAATGAAGATTTCAAAAACGTTTTTCTGGAAATGTTGCACAGGGAGATTTGTGTTGGCCACTCTTTGCTTTGTGTTGGCCAATCCTTACAAGTTCAGGGGTAAATTGATGAATACCTCTATTTTATATGATTGGATGAATATCTTATTGGATTGGGATGTATTGGATGTGTGTTTAATGCATTATGTGATTGTTTTTTTTTTCTTGCAGCTGCTACACCAAAACAAATTAGAGAGTTAATGAAGGTTGATGGGTTTACTAACGATGAAGTCAAAAGCCATTTGCAGGTTTGTATATGTGATTATCCATTTGTTTTGAACCATAATTTGGTTGATGTGAATAAAATTTTACACATACATGACAGAAATTGGAAGTCATTTTGCATGTGATTAGTGATGAATTTTTTTACACATACATGTGATTATCCTCGTGAAATATTTTTTTTTAAAGATATGTTTCTGTATTAAAAAAGGGCACATTTTGAGCTTTCGCACTGGGCACCAAAAAAACTTAGGACCGGCCCTGCCATTAACTATGGTATCTAAAGTGAGGCGTTAATAACTGGATATGTCTACAGTTTTGGAATTCTCTTTCTAGAGATGTTTACTAGAGAGAGACCCACTGACAACGTGTTTAATGAGAACTTAAACCTTCATGTTACAATTTTCAATCAATGCTTAGGAGTGTTGAGCCCCCATGAAATTTAAAAATTAAGAAAGCTTGATCTCACTAGTAACTGTTACAATTTTTAAAAAGGTGGGATCCACAACAAGCTTTCTTGCAATGATATACTTCAGGGGAACTATGAGAAAATCAGCAGTCTCACAGTCCAGCCACTCAAAAAACGTAGAGACTTCGAAATTTCCATTCATAGCTAGGGTCGTCCTGCAAGGTAACTTTCATATTAAGTGACACCAGCGTGACGTCTGATGTGACCAAAATATAGGGTTCTATGTATTTGTTTTTTTTTTCATTTTGGATGGTTGCCAAATGTTTCCAGTCAGCTACTGGAATCAAGGTGCTTTAATGGTCTTGGTCCTTGGCGTACCGAAAGTGCCAGACAATAGGTCCTAGTATTCCTTCTCATATTTGAATTTCAAGAACCAGAAACTGTGGTGTAAGTTCCTCCTATGATCCTATCCTTCTATAAATTTCCTTGTCATGCAACAAATGGAACTCACCAAATTCACAACTCAACACCCATCTCTCTATTTCTTTCTTAACCAGATCAGGAATGGGGGTTTTGGTTTTGAAATTGATCTTAATATACTTGCTTTTCAGTGAAGTGTTCGTTTGCTGTTGGAGCTCCGTGCAATCGGGACTCGGAGGGAATGCGACAGATAGGCTGGCGCTGCTTGCCATTAAAGCTCAAATAAAGCAAGATCTCCATAATTACAACGTGATGAGCTCCTGGAACGAATCCATGCACTTTTGCATGTGGCATGGTGTGACGTGCAGTCGACGACATCGCCAAAGGGTCACTAACCTGGATCTGCAATCTCAAAATCTGGTAGGGAAACTATCCCCAAACATTGGAAATCTAAGTTTTCTAAGGGAGCTGTGGCTGCAAAACAACAGCTTCAGTCATGAAATTCCTCCACAAATTGGGAATTTGCGTAGATTGCAGGTATTGCGTTTAGACGGTAACTCGTTTAATGGTAGTATTCCACACAATATATCACATTGCTTCAACCTTATCGTTGTGAATTTCACTCGCAACAAGTTGGTGGGTAAAATTCCTCCAGAAATTGGATTGCTATCGAAGCTGACACTTTTTTCATTAAATTATAATAATGTAACGGGAAAGGTCCCTCCTTCCTTAGGGAACCTTTCGTCTCTCCAGGGACTGAGTCTTCTCAGTAATAACTTGATGGGAAACATCCCCAGTTCTCTTGGCCAATTGAAAAAGTTAACCTTCTTGGGATTGGGCATAAATCAGTTGTCTGGTAGCATTCCTTCCTCCATTTATAATTTCTCTTCTCTTGTTACATTTGACATGCCAATTAACCAAATTCAAGGGAGTATTCCATCAGATATTGGCAAAAGTCTTCCTAATCTCGGAATCTTCAACTTCCACTCAAACCAACTCACTGGGTCTATACCTCCCTCAATATCCAATGTCACTAGTGTTTGGTTCTTTGATGTTGGGAGAAACAACCTAATCGGACGGGTACCGAATCTCCAAAAGCTTCACAACCTCCAGCATTTCAACATTCAACATAATAATATTGGAAGCGGTAAAGATGGTGACTTAAGTTTTCTCTCGGACTTGACCAATGCCACCCAGTTACGAAGGCTGTTTATTAGCGACAACAATTTTGGAGGGACATTGCCCATGTCAATATCCAATCTCTCAACCAACCTTGAATTGTTTTGGGCTCGACAGAACCAAATATATGGAAGCATC